CCAGCGTGGCTTTAGGGGAAAGGCTCCCAAAAGCACATTTTATTGAAATTTAATGGGATGGTTACTGTAAGTTTATCTAAACCGCAGTTAAATATTAACAGCATCTCTAGCAGGGATTAATGGGGTCTCCTGCGCTGTTTTTTAAACACCGTGAAGCGCTGGGACCCGCTGCCGCTTCCAGCGCGAGGGACTGAGGGCTGAGCGCCCATGAGGATGCTGCCTGCATTCCAAAAACTGCCCTAGAAACAGCCCTGAACAGGCGATTTCTCCAGCTCGGAGCAGGCAATGCCTTTGGGGCGAGAAGGGCTCAAAATGGCTCCAGCCAAGTAAGGCTTTTAATCATTGTTTCTTAATTGGGGCCACCGTTAACGAGGGGATAAATGAGTCAGTGAGCGGAGCTGGAACCCTCGTCCTTTGTGGCTTTGAATGGTTGTAGACACGGAGGGCTCAGTTATTCAGGAAAAGCTCCTCCGGACCCGTGTGTCATTCACCTGACTAATGCCAAGAAAATTAAGCACTTTTTGTGCAACTCTGAGCTTATTGGAGAATAATGTGGTATGCGATAGCACGGCTGGGGTTAGAAAATCATGTTTTCATTTGGAAGGAAACGAGAATGTCTCGAGCATAAATTATGTTTCTGATCATATTTGGCCATTTCAGATTAAAAATAAATTTCCACTCTGGGGTTATAGATTGCTATCTATCAGCTTCCTGAAAAGGGAAAAAAAAAGGAATTAAAAGAGAAATCTGGCTGTACAAATTGCCTTGCTATGACCTACTTATTGGAAGGAGTTGGCTTTTTTTTTTTGTTCTCTAGGAATGAAATCTGCTGGTGTGGGGAGGTGTAGGATTGTATGGATATAGGTTCGTAGGGAAATATATGGACACAGGTGGATAAGAGGATCTTTAACTTAACCTGTTAAGTGAAATAGGTGGGAGAATTGTGTTAGATATTTCTGAGAAAGCAGGAAAAAAATGCAGCAATGGTGTTGTTTTACTTGACTGAAGACCTTTAACTGCAAATTTGCACCTGGCTATCGGCCTTTGGGGCCACTCAGAGCTGCAGATTAGCTACTTAAGACTTGGGTTTGCTAAAAAAGCCTGAGAGCAGGGCAGTGTTTGCTGAAGGGTCCTTGCAGAAGGAGTCCCTTGCAGCAAGCAAAAATCGGTAGTTCTTCCTCATGGGACATTTTTGGGACTGATCTGCTCCCTGCTCTGCCTGCAAACCTCCTGCTCCCCGAGATGCTCCTTTGGGAAGCAAATCCACGGGGTTCTCCCTCCTTCTAACCCCTTCTCCATCCGTGCTTTCCTCATCCTCCCTGCCAGCTCCCATCTCCCGAGGGGGTGGAAACCCTTCCCTTGGCTCCATCCTCCCCGCTGCATCCCTTCCCACCCACCCAGCCCTTTGCTGCTTCTGCCGCCCTGTTTGTGGTCTCTGCCAGGAGAGGGGGGCCTTTAGCCTTGCTGGGAAGGAGGAGGTTGAGGAGATGGATACGGAGATAAATATACACCTCGAGTGTGCCTGTGCTTTGCTGCTCGTTCTGTTTGTCTCCTGCCTGTTGCTCGCAGTGGAAAAAAAAAATTAAAAAAAAAAAAAAAAAAAGAGAGAGAGAGAAAAAAGATACTTTTACCTAAGTAGGAAGAAAGGGAAGGAGCTGAAAGCAAGAGGCTGTTTGGTGCTCAGATGGGCTCAGCCCGTGTGCGGCAAACTCTGCTGCTGCCGTGGTCAAAACCCAATGAAGGAAAAAAGACTCTCTCATCCCCAGAGGAGGCTACAAAGCTCTCTTTCTCTCGCTGCTGAACCTTCACAGCTGGACTCAGTTGCTGGCTCCTCTGCTGCTGGAGCAACTGAATTATTTAAAGGAACCTTGATTTGGTTTTCTCTTTGCTGTTTTGCCGCTGTTGTGTTTATTGTCTATAGATATTTTTATAGTCCGAAGCAATTACAGCTGTCAGGAAAGAGACGAGCTGTGACAGGCTGATTTATATGTACATTGTATGTATGCAAGGGAGGGAGGGAGACCAGGGATTCTGCTGGGCTTTAGTATGCAGGAGCACATTGGATGTAAATTCCTGGGGATTTTCAAACAATGCTAATGATGATCTAACAGTGGGCCAAATTCAGCCCTGGCAAGGGCTGGACCAGCTCAGCAGGTCACATTCTGCCCCAGCCTCGTACACTTCCAGTGCAGGGAGGTGTTTTTTTTTTTTTTTTTTTTTCTCGTGATTTAAGATGCTCCTGGAGATCCAGGCCTGAATTTCATGTTAAAAGGTTAACTGGCTGTGGTTATTGGAATCCCTCTGGTTTTGCTGACACAGGAGATGGTCTCTGCCCATCCAAAGGAGTGGCCTCACAAAAGAGCAAGCTCTTGTGTGATGGTCCTGTAGGTATCACAGCAGGGTCCCGATCCTTCCAGAGGTCTGGGATGCTGCAGCAATCAGCAGGAGTGGTGGGTTTTATTCTTTGCTGACTTGTACACCCTGGTGCAATCCCACAACCCTGCACAAAGGCTTCCCCACCCTGCCTCTGCTGCTCTGCCTTTATGCAGTGAGGCTTCGGAGACCCCTCCTGTGTAATTTGTGGCCCCCAAAGGGTCTGCTGAATGCAGCACTCACCCTTCCCCTGCCAGATCAGCCAGCGTAGTTCACTGCAGGGATTAAACTCCTTCAGCCAAGGGCTGGGGAAAGCTGCTGTTTCCTCTGGGAAAACACAGGGCTCGAGGCAGCACGTCCCACCAGCGCTAAATTCAAGGAGCAGAGAACCTTCAGACAAGGAAAAGGTAGAGAGACTTGCAGAGCAATCCCCTTCTCGTATGACCCTCCAGCACACACAATAATAATGAAGCTTTATTTGATGGAGTGTTTCCTCTGCCCGGCACAGCTCATAATGTTTTAGAGATTAAATAGCACAGTTAGTGAATTAAGCAGTAGTTTACAGGGGATTCGGAGACTCCAGGGATTAGTAACGGGCTATGGATCCTTTCACATCTAGGTCACCGGTTTGAATCCAGCTCAGGTTGGCAGCGAACTTAAAAACAACAACCCCCCTCCCCCCCATTGGTGCCGTGTAAAAGCTGCCGAGCACTCGGTGGGGAATGGAGGGAGGATTTTTGGATAAGGCAAAGCACAGGAGTCATCGGGGACAGCAAGTCGGGAGCCCAGTTGTCCCCCAGGGCTGGGCTGCTGCAGCTAAAGGGGGCTTGAGGGGTGCAACACCCCCAAAAGCTGTGATTTGACTGCTGGCTCTAGGACTTTGTGATCTGATGATGCTCCCCAGCACCTTTTTACCAGCATGGAACTGTGCCTGGAAATATTAATGTGTTTAGCCACTAGTGGAGGGAAGGTGGAATTACTCGCCATAAGCAAATGTGATATTTGTTAAATTATGAGCTGATAAAAAGTACTCGGGGACTGTACTGGTGGCTGGGGAGGAATTTGCCACTTAAGCTCACGTTGTGCTCACGAGGTGCAGGGGAGCAGGAGGACACACTCCTGCCTCCCCTCACCATCACCTGGCTTGGGGAGGAAGGGGGGATGTTATCCCGTGCCTCAGTTTCCCCTCCTGCACGCTGGCTTTGCCGGGATGTGGAAAGGTGCGGAGGTGCAGGAGGGCAAACGGGACAGTGCTGCGGGGTGCAGGTAAGCGCGGAGGGAGAGAGGAAAAAGCAGGGGACGGGGGTCTTGCCATCCCCCCCCCCCCGCGAAGAGCGCGGCGCGGCGGGGGTTAAACGCGTGTGTCCTCCGTGCGCCTCCCGCCCCGCTGCCTCCCGCCCGCCCGCCCGTGTGCGGGGCTCGGGGCGTGCGGGAGCCGAGGCGCCGGGCAGCGCTGGAGCCGCTGCCATGACAACCCCGGGGATGCTGCCGGCCGGGGCCGGGGTGCTGCTGCTGCCGCCGCCGCCCCCCCGCGCCCCTCCCGCCCGCCACTGAGCCCAGCCGGGGGCTCCGGCAGCCTGACAGCCCCGCGCTCCGCATCCCCGCCGTCCTCTCATCCCCAGCCTGCATCCCGGCATCCTGCATCCCGCCTGGATCAGCCCCCCGACAGCGGGGCGGGAGGAGAGGAGCTGCAGGGCATCCCGGAGGCTTTTGCCCGCCGTGCCTTCTTGCGCCTGGACACCTTTGCTAGCTCGCCTCGGGGGTGTTTTTTGGGGTTTTTACTGGTTTTTGGACTGCCCCCGCCTCGGGACAAGAGTGTGGGAGTGGGGTACAGCCGGGCCCCCCCGGCGCCTCCTCGCCCAAGTGAGCCTCGGACTGCTGCCCGAAGAACCGGCTCGCCCAGCACCTTTGCCACTTCTCCTCCTCCTCTTCCTCCTCCTCCCCCCGGCCCTCCCGTCCTCCTCCCTCGCCCGAGGACAGCGGGACTCCCTCCGATGCCGCTCGGCAGGCTCAGCGCTCGCAGCCAGCCTTGCCGGGGGCTCTCCTGATCTCCGTGGAGCTCCGCAGCGCTCGCCCCGGTGGTTTTGCTCCCCCCCATCCCTCCTCTCCACCCACCCCCTTCCCCCTTTTCGCCTT